GCCGGTTGAGCTATAGGCGCCGAGCCAAAAAAAAGAACAACTTTCATACAGCTTTCTGTCTTTCTGTATTTTGGGGGGTTGGACCTTTCACAGACACCAACATCAGAGGGTACTCAAGTTCTAGATATAAATGGCACAGCGCTTGGGCACTCATGCCCATAATCCCAGCACTCTGGGAGGCCAAGGCAGGTAGATTACTTAAGCTCAGGAGTTCCAGAAGAGCCTGAGCAAGGGTGAGACCCCGTCTCTACTAAAAATAGAAAAAGTAGTGGGGCACTGTGGGCACCTGTAGTGAGCTACTTGAGGCAGGATGATTGCTTCAGCCCAGGAGTTTAGAAGTTTCCGTGAGCTATGATGCCATAGCACTTCTACCCAGAGTGACACATAGTATTTGTACATTACCTATGCATATCATGTCATATACAGTCACGTATTATATAATGAAGTTCTGGCCAAAAACTGTATATGACTGTGGTCCTATAAGACTATAATGGAGCTGAAAATTCCTATTACCTAGTAACACTGAAGCCACCATGACGTGGAACAAGGTATTACCTCTTCTAGGTTTAGTCACACTCTTACCACTGTGTTACACCTGCCTGCAGGGCCCAGTCATATACTGTGCAGGTTTGCAGTGCGTGGTACCATCTAGGGGTGTTAAGTGCACTCGTGTTCCACCAGACACACTGGGCAACTTCTCAGAACTCCCTGGTCCTCACGCTACATGTGGTTGTGCCATAAATCACCTCTAGATCTCTTGTAACCCCTAATACAAAGGTGAATAGTTGTTATACTGGGATAATGAGAAGGAAAATGTACAAGTGCAGTATAGGTGCAACTTAAAAAAAATTACACTGGGTGGTGCCTGTGGCTCAAAGGAGTAGGGCACTAGTGCTATATACCTGAGGTGGAAGGGTCAAACCTGGCCCTGGCCAAAACTGCAAAAAACAAAAAACAAAAAACCCACACGGATGTGGAATGCATAAATACGGAGGGTTGCCTGTACTCAGTCAGTCATCACTCAAGTGGAGTTCATTACTATAAAATTACTAGACTTTTCGGAATGACAATGTTCTAAGTCACACTGCTTTGTGTTTTCAGGATTTAGACCTTAAAACTAAACTTCATGGGCAGTGCCTGGGGAGGGCGGCGCCCCATATAACGAGGGTGGTGGGTTCGAACCCAGCCCCGGCCAAACTGCAACAAAAAATAGCCGGGTGTTGTGGTGGGCACCTGTAGTCCCAGCTACTCGGGAGGCTGAGGCAAGAGAATTGCTTAAGCCCAGGAGTTGGAGGTTGCTGTGAGCTGTGATGCCACAGCACTCTATCGAGGGCGACACTACCGAGGGGAGAAGGTGAGACAGATCCAGGGCGATTAAGGTGAAACTCTGTCTCTAAAAAAACAAACTAAACTTCGTATCGCAGGATAAAATGAGGACAAGCTTGGTTTTGAATTCCTCCAATAAAGATAATCAGGCCGGGAGACTGGAAGGCGGATAGCCCGAGCAAGCCGAGACCCCGCCGGCGCCGTGCGGGCACCTGCGGCACCTGCGGCCCCAGCGGCCAGGAGTCAGAGGCAGAAGGATCGCGTAAGTCCCACAGTCTGCGGCTGCTGTGAGCTGTAACGCCACGGCACTCTACCGAGGGCGACATGGAGACTGGGGAGTCCCACCTTTCCAGAGCCTCCCGAGACTGAGGCCAGAGTCGGGATTTTACTAAGGCTCCGCTGACTCTCAGCTGCTTGTTCACCGACAAGAGAACGTCCGTCCACAGCGCCCGGCCCCGCAGACCGGCTCGGGACACCCGCAGGCGCGGGAGCATCTGCTCTCGACACACCGGTTGCGCCGCCCGGCAGGCTCTACCCATCCCGTCCCCTGACACCCCACGTCGTCATCCGCGTCTCTGGCGTTCCCTCATCTCAGTCCCTAAGTCTCCCATGTCCTCGGACCCTCAACTAATCACCCAACTCGTGTCCCATCCGGTCCCTCATGTCACCCCATCTCATCTCCCGTTACCCGAGTCCCCCATCTCACCTCCCGACTCCCCATCTTGTCTCCCAACCTCCGTACCTGAGCGGCCTCCGGACCAAGTTGCCAGCCGGTCTGGGCACGCGCCCCTTCTCTGCACCGACCACTCCCCGGCCCCGCCCACAGGCCGTGTGTCCAATGGCCCGTACTAGCATCCGCCCGCGCCACATGCCGCGGCCAATCGGCGCCCGTGCGCCTGACGTCACGCTCGAGCCAGACAGTCGCGCGATGGCGCCACCTCCGCGCCCGGCCCTCGCGGACGCGTCGCAGCTTCAGGCCCCTGCGGGACCAGCCTAGTCCTCGCCCGGCCCGGTGCTGAAGGGTGGGCGTTCCCGGCCCGAGGGGTAGGTGTCCGCCACCCCAACCGCCAGCCGCCCAGGTTGAGCCGAATCCGCTCGAAGCTCTGCGGAGGCTGCGCGCTAACGCCAGGCGTCCCGAAGCGCACGCTTGGGGAGCAAGACAGCCCCGTCAGATGCCTGCGCAGTCGGACGCGCGTGCGCACAGCACCGGGCAAGCTGTTCGGGTCTGGGACTTCCGGACTCGGGCGGCTGGGGCGGGCGTGTTGCAGTCCGTCGTTCCTGCACCTTTTTTTCTTTTTTTTGAGACAGCGCCTCAAGCTGTTCCCCTGGGTAAAGTGCCGTGGCATAGCTCAGAGCAACCTCCAACTCCTGGGCTCAAGCGAGTCTCCTGCCTCCGCCTCCCAAGTTGCTGGGACCACAGGCGCCCGCCACAACGCCTGGCTATTTTTTTTCGGTTGCAGCCGTCGTTGTTGTTTGGCGGGCCCAGGCTGGATTCGAACCCGCCACCTTAGGTGTATGTGGCTGGCGCCTTAGCCACTTGAGCCACAGGCGCCGAGCCATGAGTAGACATTTTCAGTGTCACTATACCATAATCTATGTGTGCAATAGCATTACATCTAAAATATAATGCACATGCCTTTATTGAAACAACTGCCAAAAAATGCTAATGGTTATTTGACCATTCCACAAATCATAATCTTTTTACAGGTCTTGTTTCTGTGTTGATGGTGCTGACTCATCAGGGTTGTGGTTACTGAAGGTCAGGGTGGCTTCGTAATAAGACAGCCACTAAGTTTGCTGCATGGATAGACCCTTCTTTTTGTGAAAGATTTCCCTGTAGTATATGATGCTGTTTGAGAGCATTTTGCCCATTAAAGAACGTCCTGCAAAACTGGAGTCAGTCCTCTAAGCCCTTTGTCAACTAAATTTATCTCATACTCAAGTACTTTTTTTTTGAGACAGAGTCTCACTTTCTCACCCTTGGTAGAGTGCTCTGACATCACAGCTCACAGCAACCTCAAACTCTTGGGCTCAAATGATTCTCTTGCCTCAGCCTCCCAAGTAGCTGGGACTACAGACTACTCTCAGTAGTCTCTGGCTATTTATAGACAAAGTCTCTCTTGCTCAGGCTGGTCTTGAACTCCTGAGCTTAGGCAATCCACCTGCCTCGACCTCCCAGAGTGCTAGGATTATAGGTGTGAACCACCACACCTGGCTTCAAGAACTTTGCAGTGATGTTCACAGCGTCTTCACCCAGGAGTCAATTCCCAAGAAACCACTTTCTTGGCTTGGCACCTGTGGCTCAAGTGGCTAAGGCACCAGCCACGTACACCTGAGCTGGCAGGTTCCAATCCAGCCTGGGCCCGCCAAACAACAATGACGGCTGCAACCAAAAAAATAGCCGGGCGTTGTGGTGGGCGCTTGTGGTCCCAGCTACTTGGGAGGCTGAGGCAAGAGCATCAATTGCCCAGGAGTTTGAGGCTGCTGTGAGCTATGATGCTACAGCACTCTAGCCAGGGTGACAGAGTGAGACTGTCTCAAACCAACCAACTAACCAACAACAACAAAAAAAGAAGCACATCATGTGTTCAAGTTTGTCCTGAGACTGCAGTAATTCAGTCATATCTTCCGCCTCCACTTCTAACTGTAGTTCTTGTGCTGTTTCCACCACACCTGCAGTTACTTCCTCCACTGAAAAATACATTGGATAGTTGCTGGAAACAACTGCAACACCTGGCCTGAATTGTGTCCCTCCCCTCCAAATCCATATATTAAAGGTCCTCGCTCCCAGCACTTCAGAATGTGACCTTACTTGGAAATAGGGTTGCTACAGGTGTCATTAGTTAAGATGAGGGCACAGTGTAGTTGGGTAGTCTCTAATGAATGATGTCCTCATACAGAGAATGCCAAGAGGAGACATGCACACAGGGAGAACACCACATAAAGACTGATGGTCCTCCCACACGGTGGAAGCATAGATTGTGGACTCCACAGGCTGAGAAACCTGGAGCAGGTCTTCCTCACAGCTCTCAGAAGGAACCTACCCTACCCTTGACACTGGACTTTAGTCTCCAGAACTCGAGACAGTAAATGTCTGTCTAAACCACCTAGTTTGTGGCATTTTGTTACTGGAGCGCAATGAATTCACACACAATGCAAAGAAAGTGGGGTCTATGTCAGTTTGGACTTCAGCATTTGCCTTACTGCACTCTAGCTTTTTGATTTTCTTTTTTTTTTTTAGACTGCATGTAACCCAGGCTGGAGTGCAGTAGCAGCACCATATATATTGCTCACAGTAATCTCAACCTCCTGGGCTCATGTGATCCTCCTGACCCAGCCTCCCAAGGGGCTGAGACTTTTGATATTTGCTACCATGCCTACCTAATTTTTTTGTAGAGACAGGATTTCTCTATGTTGTAGGCTGGTCTAGAACTCCTGGGCCTCAAGGGATCCTCTGGCCTCAGCCTCCTAGATGCTGGGATTCCAGGTGTGAACCTCCCTAGCTTTTTGACTCTGAACAAATTATTTCAACATTCTCATGTTAGTTAAATTTTAGTTTAGGATGGTAACTTCTACTTTATTGGATTGTTTTGAGGATTAAACAAGTTAAAAACTGTTTTTTATGAAGATGTTTTTATTATGAATACATGAATCCTTAGGCAGAAGGCTCAGAACAAGTCTTTTTTTTTTTTTTTTTT